ATTTTTCTTTATATAATCTAGCCATCGTTTCCGCTATGTACCTCGTGTTAGCTTTCCATCTTCCGTTCTTCCCATTGCCCATCGAGCTACGTTTATACTATACCAGATAGCTTTTCGTAGCGGTGCGAAAAAGCACCTATCCAATACGGAATGTACAACTTTCAGAAGCTGAGCGAAACAACATCTCTCCGTTGCAACAATTCGTCTAAAAATAGCGTTCCTAAAAGGTACGGATAGGTGTTTTTTCATGTCGCGATGGAAAGTTACCCAACTATTTCAAACTCGTCCCCTCGCACTTAGTATAAATTTTAATATTCCAATATAGTGTGCAGAGGACAGTAAAACCCGCGATCTTGTGCGTCAGTTTGGTGGCCTGGATCCTTTGGTCTCCCTGCTTCAGGCTGTGGAGAATAAAGACCTTTTGGCCGCAGCTACTGGAGCAATATGGAAATGTTCTATCACTCCTGAAAACGTTGCAAGGTACCTTGTCCCAAGTCCTACTCATTTGCAAAAACCATCTAGAGAAATTGCTGCCTTGACGCGAACGCTGTATATAATTAGCATATGAAACGTAAAGGCCGATTCACACTGCACAACTTTTGCCTAAAACTGTCGCATGCAACCTGCTTACAACTTGAGTTGTACTGTGTAAATCAAGCACATAACTCACCTACGTGATTTTAACCGTAGAAAATCGAGGGAAATACTCATTGAACATTGATTTCTTTTAAATTTTCTTCATGAATTATTAATGCCTTTATACAACTGTTATCACTTTCTTCTGAAGGTTCCAAGAGTTAAAAGCCATTGAACAACTTGTCGCTTTGCTTAACGACCAACCGGAGGAGGTATGTGGCAAAATTCCTACTGTGACCACAGGAACTTTGATAGTGTAAACCAGCTTTAACAAACCTAAAATTAACGCCCGTGTTCTAAACGCTCACTCACACTCAAAGAGTGGAGGTTCAATCTGAGCTTCCCATGAGTGTCAGTGCTGTTTATGAATAGCTTGAGGGTGAGTAGTCACATAGTAAGGTATGACACTAGGCCTCCAGCTATTCAAAAACAGCATTGACACTCCTCCACTCATTGAGTGTGAGTGAGCTTTTAGAATACGGGCGTAAGTGTTTCATTGAGTGCGATATATGTGATATTTCTAGGTTCTGATCAACGTAGTAGGTGCTCTAGGTGAATGTGCTCAGATTCCTCCAAACAGATCTTCCATACGTAAGGCTGGCGGGATCTCTCCGTTGGTGAACCTGCTAACCAGTACCAACCAAGCTCTTCTGGTTAATGTCACTAAGGCTGTTGGCGCATGCGCTACTGAAGCTGATAACATGAGGTGTGTCAATTTAATGTTCCACAATTTATATTTTTGTGCACTGCCCTTCAATGTTTTACGTTTTTGTTTTCTAGTATCATTGATCGTCTCGATGGTGTCCGTTTGCTGTGGTCGTTACTGAAATCTCCAAATCCAGAGGTAAGGAGATTTGAGTATGGTACTATAATAAAACAATCCTACATAGAAATAATTACTTGCATTTGCATTTGATTGGTCGAGGAATAGAAAATTGCTTTTGATTGACAATCAAAATTGTTCTTAAAACTGTCCCTGGACTACTTCAAAATGAGTATAAATTCTTGTTCGTTAATGACTCATTTTAGATTGATGGGTTAGTAGGTTCGACCATGCTTCGAACTACGGCAGCAAAGCATTCACACTGCCAAGCTAGAAAGCGTACGAAATCCATCCATGAATAATACGTTCAACATGCAAACTTTTTTTTATCAACAGGTTCAGTCAAGCGCAGCCTGGGCAATATGTCCTTGTATTGAGAACGCCAAGGTATGATGCAGTGTAATAATTATATAGGAACGATTTTCAAGAAGTGAAGATTAACGATTTTATATCTTCAGGATGCAGGAGAAATGGTGCGCTCATTTGTTGGTGGCCTGGAACTAATTGTGAGTTTGCTGAAATCAGATGATAGAGAAGTGAGTGATTGGTATTTTAAGTAGTGCAAAGCATTTCGGGGTTTATAATCAGTACCAAAAGACATGAATAATGTATTTCGGTACTGATATTAAGCCACTTCTAATACTGTATATACCTTGCCTTATGATTGCCTCAGTCAACCCTTGCTTAGCATCCTAGCTTTAGAATAATTTATGCGCGACATTAACTGATTATGTATTAGATAGTGAATATTTAATGAAATGAAATTTTGACTTGTAATGTTTTCCAGGTTCTGGCAAGTGTTTGTGCAGCAATCGCTAATATCGCGAAAGATGAAGAAAATTTAGCTGTGATCACAGACCATGGAGTCGTCCCCATGTTGGCAAAACTCGCCACAACAGTAAGAACTAGTAAATATAATGACGCAATCACTTCATGTAATGATGCAGTAATAAATATAATTCTGTTCGACCTTCAAAAATGTTTTTCGTATTTTAGAGTGATGACCGATTAAGACAGTATTTGGCCGATTCCATCGCAAGGTGCAGTATGCTAGTTTATGTTCGTACTGTTTGTTCACAAACTGGCAGCGGATTGTTGATAGCTATTTTACTTTGATGGGTGACTATTGTGGAATGATTATTGTCGATTTCAAGTCAATTTTCAACGTGCGATTCCCAAGTTTGTATGGTGGTATGGTAAAACTTTATTTAAACACGCTAGCCTCGATCAACGTGAGCTGCTTTTCATGAGGGGCGTCACACAATAACTATTTACAAATTAAAGAGTATACACATTGAACTATATACAAGTGAAACTATATAGAAAAAACAAGGAAGCAAAGGATAATAGAAAAGGAATTATATAAAAACTTAACAATTGGTGCGATCCAAAGAAGGTGTTCATGCCTGACGTATTACGTGTGCCAATTACGTTTCCAAGTTCAAGAATTGAGCGTGAACTTCACAAGAAAGTTCGGAAGTACATTTCAGTGTTTGAACTATTTTAAACAAATGTTCATAGTTCAAGTTGAAATTAACAATTCAATGGAAAGTTCTTGGTCCAGTGGGCTACCAAGAAGGTTTGTATTTCATTGAATTGGTTATTATTATTGAGTATGAATATTTGTTTACAAACGAAATTCAAACATTGAAATGAACTTGCGAACTCTGTTGCGAAGTTCGCGCCCAATTAATTTCCGAACTTGGAAACGTAATTGGCAAGTTCGCAACGAACTTGGGAACCGCGCGTTGAAAAGTGACTTGAAATCGACAATAATGACTCTAAATAGTGCGTGGAGGATTTGTTTTGTGTTAAGGTGCTTTGGTTTTCCTCGCTCACCGAAATCTGACCCTCTGTTCTCTTTCAGATGTTGCACTTGGGGGAATAACCGCGTGGCATTTGGTCGCGCAGGGGCTGTGGCACCGTTGGTGCGCTACCTTAAGTCACCTAAATTGGATGTACATCGTGCCACAGCACGTGCTCTTTATCAACTGTCACGTGATCCAAACAACTGTATTGCGATGCACAACAGTGGTGTAGTGAAGGTGAGTAATGTTGCATGCCCGAGTCAAACGAGAACAAGAATTGCATGAGAGTTGATGAGAATGGACAACTTGCATGTTAGACTAAATTTTAATCTAAATAAAGAGAAGGGAATCAAACACCACGGCTAAAAAGAACATAATGAAATTAGTAAAATTGCAAAATTTGATTGCGAAATGATATAAAGCTTGGAAAATATATATAGCCTTGCAAAGTTTCCAAATTTTGTATATGTTTGTGTTACGTGCGTAAATTGTTACCATTTTCGGCTCAAAAATGGTAACAATTCCCGCACGTAATACAAACATATACAAAATATGCAAACTTCGCAAGGCTATATTTTCCGTATTTTACAACATTTCGTAACCAAATTTTGCAATTTTACTAGTTTTAATAAGTTCTTTACGAGAATTTACTTTTCTTTGCCTATAGATAAAAAATTAGTCTAACATGCAAACGTTGTCTATTGACTGGATATTATTGGTCAAGCGAGCAAAAATTCTCATCAAAATTTAAACCAGCTCATCAACTCTCTTCAACATTGATTGCCTTTTCTAACAAACGAAGAAACAATTATATCAAGTAATAACAACCGTGTCTTTCTTTTTAGCCGCTGATTGCAATGGTTGGCTCGTCTGATGATATCTTGCAAGAGGCAGCCGCGGGATGTTTGGGAAACATTCGAAGACTGGCACTAGCCAATGAGAAAGCTAAGTATCAATGATTGTAGTTAAAACATTTTAGTTCAAGGTTATTCTATTTTCAATAATGTTTCGCCTTTGCATGTTTGAGGATTGGGTTTTCCCGAAATTGTAAAATATTCGTAAGCCTACAGCGATATGTACTTGTATATTTTTGACGGTTCAATATCTGTATGAACTATTGGGAGTAAATTAATTATAAGTTTTTTTTATGAAAATCGCGCCGAAAGTTGTAGTGGTTCTAATTTGCCGTAGCTTATCAGCTTTTAATGGTAGCTCTATAACAATTACTGAGCTTTTAATAGGTTCACATCAGTTTGGTTTTCAGCATAATATTTTATGTACTAGATAAAACATGAGCAGCCGATCTGTATCTGATATACAAACTTGAGCCGAAGGCGAGAGTTTGTATATCAGATACAGATCGGATGCGAATCTTATGAGTTCATTGACCCATCTTATGAGTTCATTGGCGAAGTAATTTTAAAAATAAACATTGTCTAAGCCGAGAAAATCAAAGCTGAAGTTTATGTAAACCAGGACAAATCTTTATCCGATTTACAAACATTGATTAAACATTTGCGATAGATGAACCAGGCGGGAATCGTAATCTTATAAGATAAATATTAATGCCCAGCAGAAAATACGTAAAAGAGCCATAACAAAAATATAGTTTAAAATATTTATTAGAAAGCTAACGTTTTCGTCTTTAACTTAAGTCATTGCTCTGAAGATGTCTTAAGTTAAAGACGAAACGTTAGCTTTCTAATAAATATTTTAAACTATATTTTTGTTATGGCTCTTTTACGTATTTTCTGCTGGGCATTAATATTTATCTAATTATGATTAAACATTCATTTCTTTTGTATTTTCCTCGTGAATTATTAATGAATTTTTTATGAAATAATAATTTACAACAATGCAGTGAAACTTTATTACTAAGCCTTATGCACCGCAATATACTAACTAGTTCGTTTGGTGAAAATGTTATTGTAAATCTACTGTAACTTTGCAATGTGTTTGGAATCATACATTTACTAATGTCCAACGGTAAAATGACATGCAGTTTAGTACACTAAAGCTTTATTACTGTATTTCTATACAATGCATTATTAGCTTGGCCAGTGAAATATCCAGTTTTTTGTAAACATAAGAAGCTTACAAGGTGTTTGCCATCGTGCCTTAATCACAAACTTCTTCGCAATGTTCTTTCTGATGGTGACACAAATACTCGCATAGATCTTTGATCGTGCCTACTTTATAGTCACATCTTGGTACTGCGCATGTCTCGTAGTCCATGAGTGGTGCACACACTGTGCGGCAGCCGAGTTTCTTGTTTGCGGTATCTTCTTTGCTCTCGTCATCGCCTTTTCCGTCGTTTGAAAAGTAAAAATCAGTGTCGCTTTTTTTCTCCGATTTTTTATCGCCTTCGGAAGCCGACACAAGATCAGGTTTTTTCTCGCTCGAATCTTCCTCGGGTTTTTCAAAATTTTCTTCCGAACTGTCGTGTTCGAGCTCGACATTCTCGTTGTCTGCAAAAGGCGGTTTCTTTTCATCGCTATGAATACCTGAATCGTCTAAAGAATAACAGTGTTGACTCCGTATTATTGTCGATTTCAAGTCACTTTTCAACGCGCGGTTCCCAAGTTCGTTGCAAACTTGCCAATTACGTTTCCAAGTTCAAAAATTGGGCGTGAACTTCGCAACAAAGTTCGCAAGTACATTTCAATGTTTGAACTATTGTAATGGAAAGTTCTTGGTCCAGTGGGCTACCATAATGGTTTGTATTTCATTGAATTGGTTGTTATTATTGAGTATGAACATTTGTTTACAAACGAAGTTCAAACATTGAAATGAACTTGCGAACTTTGTTGCGAAGTTCGCGCCCAATTTCCATATTTGGAAACGTAATTGGCAAGTTCGCAACGAACTTGGGAACCGTGCGTTGAAAAGTGACTTGAAATCGACAATAATGTGCAAGACAAGTAACTTAGCTTTTGTTAAATAGATTATACAGATTAGCTGAGGATAGAGAGGGATTGAACTACCTAAAAAATACAAGGCCATTTGTCTGGACGTTAGACCAAGGACCTTCGCTCGAAACGTTGTGGTTTTGCTTGCATTTTTCAGGAAGTTGAATCCCTCGCGATCCCCAGCCGTCTGGTGTTATTGTCACGTACCTACCCTAGCAGAGAACGTTCGAGATGATATACAGATTAGTTTTTCCTGATTAGTTTGATGTTAGTTTACACGAAGTACATAAGGTGTGCAGCCATACTACCCATGTCTGATCACAGCACACCGGCGGTGTTAAAGGCACAGTTCAGCCTGTTGAACGATGGTTTTTAGGCGCATTTCAGCCCTTTTAATTGAAAAAACTAACTAGGAAAATCAATTAAGCATAATTCAAAATCAGCAAGCTTAATGTTTTTAACATTTTAAAACATTTATATTGTTAAAAACATCGAGTTTACTGATTTTGAATTATGCTTAATTGATTTTCCTAGTTAGTTTTTTCAATTACTGAAAGGGCTCAAATGCGCCTTAAAAACCATCGTTCAAAAGGCTGAACTGTGCCTTTAAACACCGAGTCAGTTACCTCGAACATTCTTACAAATCCTTCAAGACTTAGTATTTACCGATGAAAAGTTCCTATTGTGATCACAGAAACTTTGATACAATATACAATAAAATTTATTTAGCCACGGTAAAACCTTCAGTATACATTATTTTACAAAAAAAAAAACATTAACTGGTTTACAAGATTGCCGTGTGGGAGTCTGCGTTATCATATATATCGCTAAAATTATTATAATAGTAATTTGTAACCTTCTTAAATTGGGAAAGTGGTGGAATCATGCGCATATCTTGCGGTAAACTATTCCACAATCGTGCCCCACTATAACTGAGGCTTCTTTTTAGGAAATTAGTGCGTGGCTTGATAGTGTACAACCAGGTTATAATGAGCGTGTTAAATGAAGTTCTACTTACCTAAAGGAACTGGAATCTTGGATTTCTTATCCCAATCCCGTGCTTCGGATTTTGCCTTATCGTCTTCATCATCTTCATCATCGTCGTCACCATCGTCGTCGTCATCTGTATGTTTCCCGTCGTCGGAGTTTTTGACATCATCAGAACGTTTTTCACTGTCGTCGGAAGCCTTTTTATCGTTTTCTGCCTTATCGGAACTTTTACCCTTATTGGAACTTTTTCCCTCCTCGGAACGTTTGCCCCCATCGGACGTTTTGTCGTCATCAGAACTCTTACCACCCTCGACCTCGGACTGTTGCTCATCTTCAGAGCTTTTCGCTTCACTTCCAGAACGTTTCTCATCGCCCTCAGAATTTTGCTCATCTTTCTTAGAACTATTTTCATCGTTATTGGAATCTTGATCTTTGTTCTCTGAGCTATCCTCTTCTTTCTCAGAACTATCCTCTTCTTTCTCAGAACTATTTTGTTCGTTTTTGGAACTCTGGTCGCCGTTCTCCGAATTCTTGTCTTCATTCTTGGAACGTTTCTCATCGTTCTCGGAATTTTCATCCTTATCGGAATTTTTGTCATTTTTCTTAGAATTTTCATCGTCGCTATCAGACCTCTTGTCGTCATCTTTTGCTGCAGATTTTTCGCTGTCTTCATTTTTCACTTCATTTTTATCAGATTCAAGATCGCCTTGAATCGCGCCTGTTCCTCCCATTAGGTCCCCACCAAGATCACTGTTCTCGGAAACGTCAGGCTTCTCTGGAACTTCTGATTTCTTGGAGATTGGACTAACAAGATCGGTGTTATCGCTAAACCCAGTGGTGCCCTTTGAATCGTTTTCTAATTCCTTCTCAAGGGATGTGTCATCGTTATTATCAGAAGCTTTCTTGGAACCCGCTTGCTTGTCATCTTTGCTCTCGTCTCGCCTTGCTCTTCTTTTCGCCAACACAGCATTTTGTAGACTCTCCACATTTCGTTTGGTATCATCCTTCATCAAGTCGTCGTCCAATGCTTGAGTATCATCCACCCATGATCGTCTCGATGAGTCTTCCTGATCAAGTTTTATACAATAAATAATTAGGTTGAATACACAAACTTTCTTTTAGCTCTATTTTTACTGGATAGCTATATAAGTTACGTCTCATACGTAACGCCTGTATTTTAAAAGCTCGCTCACACTCAAAGAATGGAGGTTCGATCTGAGCTTCTCTTGAGTGTCAATGCTGTTTTTGAATAGCTGGAGGGTTACGCCTGTATTTTAAAAGCTCACTCACACTCAAAGAATGCATGTAGGTTCGATCTGAGCTTCCCTTGACTGTCAGTGCTGTTTTTGAATAGCTGGACGGTGAGTAGTCGCATAGTAAGGAACGACACTAACCCTTCAGCTATTCAAAAACAGCACTGACACTCAAGGGAAGCTCAGATTGAACCTCCACTCTTTGAACGTGAGTGATCTTTTAGAATACAGACGTTAATGTCGTAACTTACTTTGTGACTACTCATCCTCCAGCTATTCAAAAACAGCACTGACACTCAAGGGAAGCTCAGATTGAGCCTCCACTCTTTGAACGTGAGTGATCTTTTAGAATACAGACGTTAATGTCGTAACTTACTTTGTGACTACTCATCCTCCAGCTATTCAAAAACAGCACTGACACTCAAGAGAAGCTCAGATTGAACCTCCACTCTTTGAACGTGAGTGATCTTTTAGAATACAGACGTTAATGTCGTAACTTACTTTGTGACTACTCATTCTCCAGCTATTCAAAAACAGCACTGACACTCAAGGGAAGCTCAGATTGAACCTCCACTCTTTGAGCGTGAGTGATCTTTTAGAATACAGGCGTTAATGTCGTAACTTACTTTGTGACTACTCATCCTCCAGCTATTCAAAAATAGCACTGACACTCAAGAGAAACTCAGATTGAACCTCCATTCTCCATGAGCGTGAGTGAGCTTTCGGAATACAGGCGATATGTCTAGAGTTATTACACTGGGGGTAATCATTATTCTCTTTACCTTGACTACTTTTTTCGTGCCTGGTGATCCTGACGAACCAATGAAAATGTCCTCTAAAGCATCAATCCTTTTCATTTGTTTCTTCATTTCCTTGGATAAAGTATCTGTCTGTTTGTTGCCATCGGTTTTCTCATCGGCTTTGGGTTTAGGTTTAATCAGACTGCGTATAAGGCGTGCCCCAAGAGCTGCTTTATCACTGTATGCACTGCTGAGGTTTATGTGAAAAATTCCGAGGACGAGGATGGAAACGGCCAATAATGGCTTCATGGCCTTAAATAAAAGATTGTATGTACTATTTAAAACACGAGTAGGAGTGTTTTGTCAGATACAAAACGCGAGGCGAAGCCGAGCGTTTTATATCTGATAAAAAACTCCTATATACTCGTGTTTTGGATTACTTAAAATACGACTACAAAAGATGCCGTCTCATTATAGTATTCTTTATACAAGAATTAGGATGAACAGTTATATAATGCCACATCTGTTTTATCAGATATAAAGTCACTCCACGAGGTTTATGAATTATTAATGAGTACTTTAAGAGTTATATATATTGATGTTGTTTAGTGTTGTGAAGTTAGAAGTACTATTTAAAATACACCAGGCCCGGTCGGAGGTTTCGGTTATATTGGTATTTAGGCAATTTTACTTTTGGTATACAGTATTTGATTGTTAAAATAGGTTGAAATGTGGGTATAAGCGTGTAGACGGATTTTCAGATTTTGCTGCGTGCTGCCGAAAATTTAGGGGGGGGGGGGAGTGATGAGTGACGGGCTGCATAGCGCCGCGGAACAATATGCAGCAGGAGTCTGGGGGCACAGTTGCTAATGGGGGTAAGGGGGAACAGCCCATAGGACATTTTGAGATTTGTGGTCTTACTTAGTTCATAATCCTTGTTTTTAGTCTTTGTTTCAATCATACTACTGTTATTTATCCCAATGAGCATTTGATTTTTTTTTTTGAGGGGGGGGGGTTCAATTTTCTCTAGGAGAACTTTTCGAGACGTTTCGAGCGAAGGCCCTTCGTTAGAAGTTAGTGTACAAGGGGTCGGGAAAATTACATGAGCTTTTATACTAGTGAGTATAATAGCGATAAGACCGCGTTCAAGGTTATATAACTTTGTATAAACGTAGGGGCCAGCATTAATTTATTTCTACAATAAGCAGTGGTATACGTAGTTTGTGATTCGTCAGAGGGGTGTTGACTTTGTACGGTGCCAATAGGTATTATTAGACAGATTTAGATTGAGGACGCGGACGTCAAAGACGACATGGAAATGGCGTGTTGTGCCCATGTATGGATATGCCACGCCATTTTGACGCCATTTCCACGTCGTCTTTGACGTCCGCGTCCTCGATCTAAATCTGTCTATTAATGAACTTTAAACGGCACGGTAACCTTTCACATGCATGGGTGATTTTCAAAGGGACGTGCGGAAAATACATACATTATAAGAAGAGAATAAACTTATTACTAGTAAACTAAATTATATACGTATTTACAAGAGTTGAATATAAAAAATGAGCTGGTGTAGATGTGATCATTTAATAGATTATGGACAATTTTTAACTACTTGTTGACTCTCTTAGGATTTTCAACAAGTTTATTGGGATGTTGTTCCAATACGCTGCTCCTCTGTATACGAAAAGCAATTTTTCAAGAAATTCGTTACTGGTTTAGGTTGATACGGCTTTAAATTACTACTGCGCAGTTCGTCTAGCCTGTGTACACAGGCTACAGTTCGTCATGATCCACTGTTTTCACAAGTGTGAAATATTAAATTGCGTTATGTATTCTGGAAGCATGCCGTCAATCGCTTTAATGAGAGACCTTACGATTTTAAGACGGCAACCGCGACGGCGACAGCCAAAACAAACTCCTTCAAATAAATGGTAGTCGATAGTTCGTCGTATGTTATCAATCGTATGAATTTAATACAGTCTTAGAAGTTGAAGACATGGGTTTTATGGTTGGGAAGAGTTCTGCTAAACCCAGTTTGAAGTTGCGCTTGTTGTGGCTTGGAATGCAGCCGTTGTATCAACACGTGAAAATATGTGATTTGGCGTTGTAAACAGAGCGAGGACAATGTTTAAATTATTCTTTTATTGTAATTACTCAATTCTTTTCAATGATCTATTGTATTGGTAGCCGTTGCCGTCGCGTTGCCGTCTTAAAATCGTAAGGTCTCTAATGTCATAAACTGAAGATCTCTCTTTTTCAAAATTAGGTCAAGACATGACAAACGAAACACCGTGTCCATAGTTGGTCAGTATATATTAACTATGGACAGTCGCAATGTGAATAGTCTGCGAACCCACTGACGTCATTTCCCATGCACGTTTATTCTAGCTTTCCGAATGAAGAATGAGCGTGGGAAACGTATGCGTACGTTCGCAGACTACAGACAATGGGAAGGATATATACCCATTGAACTATAAGTATAAACTGGAAGGCTAACTCAGGGGGGAAATTGAAGCCAGTGCATTTTAGTTTTTCTGAGTTATGAGCAGAAATATATGAAACTGAAGCTATTGAAAAACTCTATTTGGTGTAGAAATGTCAAGGCTTTAGCTAAAAGGGAAATATTTAAAAACTACAAAAATAATTGCCGATAGTTTGCCATTTTTTGGTCGAATGGCAGTTGTTTTTGTATTTTTAAAATATTTTTCCTTTCGCTGAAGTCTTGAAATTTCCACACCGAATAGCAATTTTCAATAGCTTCAGTTTGATATATAGCCCAACGTTTGAGATAAGTATTTCTGCTCATAACTCAGAAAACCTATTTTGGCTTCAGCAAATCATAGGCTTTCATCATACCAGTTAGCCTTCCAGTTTATTTATAGTTCAATTAATGGATATACCTATAGGTGTGAAAAGTATAAGCAGAACTTCAAAACATCAATTTTTTATTCATTTTTCTTCAGGTAGTTCGCATATACTTATAAATATATATCATTGTATAGTTATATGTTATTAGAACATATGTTATTAGAATAATTCCCGCATAGCAGATGACTGCAAAAGCCATTGGGGAACATTCATGAGGGGTTAAAATAGTTTTAAAATAATGATATTTTTCCCAATCAAACATATATTCATTGAAGCGTTTTCCCCACCAACAATAAAATACTTAACACGACGATACAGTAATGGCTAAAATAATATCGCATATGTTCTATATATAAAAATGTCAAATAAACCCCCACTTACGTTTTGTCCTCTTCACTCCGCCAGCAGAAATGTAGGTTTTAGTGGTTCCAAATGATCAATTTTATATCAAAAATCTTCGTTTGTTATTTCTGTCCAAAGTAAAGCAAAAGATCACGACAAATCTATGGCTGATTACCTCATTGTCCGAACCTCGTGTCTATGTAATAGTTCTTTGCGGGTTGGATACTTGCGTGCCAATAAGAGACCAGCTTGTACCTGTTTAACATTGTAACAATAATTTATTTCTGCTTCAGGGAAACGTTTGATAACATAATTGTAACGTGTGAATTTATAACTGATATATATGCATAAAATCAAAATAAAAGGAAGTTTTACACAAAAATTATCTAACGGATTAATTAAACTGACGCAAATTGATAAGTTTAAGAGGGTTCTGCTGATTGAAAGATGACGCCAGTTTGAAAATTGCTCTGTTGTAATACGAGAGCTATACTACGGTTCCGTGTTGGTACGTGAGTTAATTTACAAAATAAACATTCATTTGTCGTGAAAGATTGAAAGAATAAAGTCGATAAAGATCCTATAGTAAATTTCAATTTTGGAGTTCTTAAGTACGGTCAATACGGTGAACTTTTAATCACGTGGGATCGAGGTCATGTCATGCGAAGACTTAGCGCGTATCGTTCGTGGTTGTTCATTGTTTTTATATTTATCGTGGTCGCCGTTCAGATTTCGCTCAATATATTGCTGTCATACTGCGGAGAACGATTGCAAAACGTTCGCGAAAGTAAGCGGGAAATTGACACAAAACATACGGATGCTTTACGCAGGGTATACACGGAACGGCTTCGAGCAACGCAGCGTACAATAACCGCTTTAAAAGTTCAATTAAAACAGGCGACGACCAAAGAAAGCCAACGAGAAACCTCTACAGAAATTCACATCCTCAGGAAGCAGAATGCACGATTGACTTCACAAGTGAAAAAATACGAAAAGCTACAGAAAATTGTCAATGCGCAGGAATTTAGTAAACTTAAATCCGAGGCATCGAAGTTAGATTTCTTAAGGGGTGATACTCCCTACAACGAACTTGCTGTTGTTCCATTCGATAGCTTTACACACGCTGGTATATTTAGTATCCTCAAAGATGGACTTGTTGACCGTCCGGCGAGGAGGCCCATTGGAACACGTATCAAAGAACACGAGGAAATATTAAATTTCGCTCTGCGTGTTTTGAAAGACGAGCTTCCGGGCCAGCAAAAAATCGAACGCTATAATTTAGCCAATGGGATCAGTAGATTAAATCGTATTACAGGAATGGCGTATGATCTCATTTTCACAGCGAAGCCGAATCAATATCATAGAGTTAAAATTCAACGTCCGTTTTCAAACTTAGAACTTGTAGGCAATGTCGAGACTTTAGATACCTCGCAAGAGATTATAAATCTAATACTACCCCTCTCTGGACGAACGGATAATTTTGAAATATTTTTGAAACGTTTTGGAAACATTTGCGTTCGCTGGGACGGCAAGGTTTATTTAACCGTGGTCTATTTTGGCAAGAAAGGCCGCGAAAAAGTGAAACATTTGCTTTCGGAGTTTGAAGACAGGGAGAAATTTAACAATTATAAACTTATTTTTGAAGACGGAGCATTTTCGCGTGGTGTCGGGCTTCAAAAAGGCGTCCTTTCTTGGGAAAAGGGAAATAATATCATGTTCTTTTGTGATGTGGATGTGTTCTTTACACCGGATTTTGTAGAAAGATGTCGCTTCTACACTGAACCTGGGCAAATGGTGTATTATCCTATTGTCTTCAGTTTATATAACCCTGAGATTGTCTACAATGGTAACCCTCTTGAAATTGAGCAGCAGCTTCATATTGGAAAATACAACGGCTTTTGGCGGGATTTTGGATTCGGGATGACTTGCGTGTATAAAAATGATTTTGTGGCAACTAAAGGATTCGACACCTCGATTCACGGTTGGGGAACGGAAGATCTGAAACTTTATAGAAAATTTTTAAAGACTAACTTAGCTGTCGTAAGAGCTACGGATAGAGGGATATTCCATATGTATCATCAGAAAAAATGCGACTCTTCTTTACCAAGCGAACAATATCTTTCCTGTCTTCATAGCAAAGCCGTTACCGAAGCCTCGCATAGGCAAATGGGAATGTTAGCCTTTGGTAATAGACTCTTTTCTAATCTGGCACCAGACTGGAAAACAAAACTCGAATATCAACCCGATTTTTCGCTAAGGGACTCGAAAACTAAGAACAAAAGAGCCATGAGTCTTTGGACAAGAGCAGATGAGTTGGACATTGAAATTTTGGAAGTGAAACAGTTACACAGTCGACTTACAGCTGCCATGAATTTTACGGTATTTGGTAGCGAGGTTTTTGACACGAAAAAGGTCAATGTGAGCGCATTAAGAGAGTTGCAGTTCCGACTTGGGAATGTAACACAGGTAGTTAGGAAACTGGCGCTTGCTATTAGTAAGAATTCTACGAACCATGGGTAAATGCGTCCAGTAGGATTTTTTAGAATTTATAGCACATAGCCATAGGTGAACATAGGTGGGTTTCACAGTGGCAAAGTTGACACTTTTAGGAGTATGAGAATTAAACCAAATCTCGGGAGTATAAAATTGCGTCGTCCTGGAAACGAGTTACCATACAGTCACTTTGATGACGTCATTGTCATGTGATGACGTCATTTTGATTTCACTCTGATGACGTCACGTCAAATCGATATTCATTGGCTGAATTAGGCTCTTCTTCTACTAACTAGTGACGTAATGCTTTTGTCGCATTACACGGATAAATAGTCAAAACATTGACACACTGAATATATCAAATGATGTATTTAGAAAATTTATATACAGTACATTTTTGAAAATATATTTATATTTCTACGAAACTATAATTTTAGTACTACAATGTTTTTGTTGAATATTGAATTTAGATTAAAAAATGTGTTGGAGCTTACAAAACTGAACTAGTTTTACAAATATTGTTACTATGTAGTGAATCAATTCCATCCACGCAAATAATTATTACAAATTGTGATCCACCTGATCGCGGTGCTGGTTTTTGGCAAATACTAGTTTCTGTGCTCTAATTAAATAATGTTTATATTCACTATGCACCGTAAAAACGGATTGGTCAAAATAATTTTGATTTTTGGTACGGCACGGATAAAATTGGTACCCGTACCACTTTTTTGGTTCTTGGACTACCTATTTAGGTAGTCCAAGAACCAAAAAGTGGCACGGTACCAAAAATTGAGCGTAGTGTAAACGGGCCTTAGCTAAATAGGTAGTCGAAGAACCAAAAAAGTGGTACGGGTACCAATTTTATCCGTGCCGTACCAAAAATTGAGCTTAGTGTAAACGGGGCTTAAGATGCATTTTCTTTTGACAAATATTATTTGTTCAATACAACCCAATTTTTGGTTGTTTTAACCAATAAAATACTGGTCAATAAAATGGGCGATTCCAGCTATATATAGACTAAACTTTGATCTAGCCAAGAAGAACAAAATCCATCACCACAGCGAGAAAGAGCATGTTAAAATGAGTAGAATTGCAACGTTTAGTAGCGAAATGTTGTAAAATGAGGAAAATACAGCCCTATGTTCTATGAAATTTGCAAATTTTGTATTAATTTGTATTACGCACGGGAAAATCCAAATGTTGTGCATTTTCCCGCGCGTAATACAAATGCAAAATGTCCAAATTTCGCAGGGCTATATTTTCCGCACTTTACAACATTTCGCAACCAAACTTTGCAATTTTACTGATTTTAACATGCTCTTTCTAGCTGCGTTGATGGATTTTGTTCTTCTTGCCTAGATCAAAATTTAGTCTATAGCTTATTTTAACCAATCTGTTTTCACAGTGTGTTTCTGGCCCTGGTTGCTCGAAGCGGATATCATGAAATCCTCTCTGCCAGACTCTGGACAGAGATTCACATTTCATTTTCTAATTTTATTTCATAATCATGCATAATGGGCATAAATGTCCGTGGAAAGACAGAAACAGTCCTATATTGATTAATGCAAATGAAGTGGTTATTCCACTGGTGCTATATGTTGTTTTCCAGTAAAGCCCATATTCACTGAATAATTCGCGCAATCAAGCTGCATTCTCACATTGGTTTGCTCATCTCCGGAACGTGTTTGAGTAAAGTCTCTCTCGCTGCTGATACAGTGCCAGGGAACTGTAGCAATCCATTTAAAAAACCAGATATTCCTTCCCTATGTAAGAAAAATATATAAATTAGCTTCATATATCTGCAAAAGTTGGGGAGCCGTAGAGCGACGATACCCCATAGTATGAGGGACTAACTCCAAATTCAAAAATTAGTTGAATGACACACGTAAAAATGCACAAGTTGTTACAGGTCTACAAACAAGTTCTTACAAATCTGTTCACAAGCTGTCGACAAGTTGTGTTCGCACTGCTTGTTCCCAATTGTTTGAACAAATTTGGAACAAGCTGTTAACAACTTGTAGCAAGTTTGATGGCATTATCAGACTTGTTACAAGGTTGTTCCAAGTCTGATACAGTCATGATATAACAAGAATGTGACAAGGTTGACGACACAAGGTTGTAACAACATTGTTATATCATGACTGTATCGGACTCGTTGGAACAACCTTGCAACAAAATCTGATAATATCAACAAGCTTGTTACAAGCTGTTAACAACTTGTAACAAGCTTTATGGCATTATCGGACTTGTTACAAGGTTGTTCTAAGTCTGATACAGTCATGATATAACAAGAATGTTACAAGGTTGACGACACAAGGTTGTAACAACATTGTTATATCGTGACTGTATCGGACTCGTTGGAACAACCTTGCAACAAATCTGATAATATCAACAAGGTTACAACTGTTAATAAGTTGTTCCATATAGTATATACTTGTGGACAAATTGGGACAAGCAGTGCGAACACAACTTGTTGACTTGTTGGCAGACTTTTGCGTGTGTAGGTTAAGGCAATGGAGCTATACCTTTCTGGCCAACAACTCCAAAGATCATGTGGAACCACGTTAACTAAGCCTCGGGTTAACGGCAGCGCCGGCATTCGAAAATTGACTATAGGTTGCCTCAAAAATCACACGTCATATACTTTAAAAGCTCCATGACTTATCGAGCACTTACTTCGTTAAGGCTATAATGGTCTTTTCTGATTGATATTCCAAAAGATAGAAGATAGCACGAATACCATTCGCTTTGACCACACGTTTATCACACTGCCATTGAAAAAATAGAAACTTATATATAGTAGAACCTACAGCTGTAGGTTAAGGACATACAAAAGCAAATGTCTTGAGGATGTTGGTTGTCATCTTTGTTGATGGATTTCGATTCTTGTAACTTGCAGTTGTCTGGTTATAATTTCACCTCAGTTACATGTGAGAAGAGTCACAGCAAGTACTCTTGAGTCTTGGCCAATCCGGCTTCATCGTGTAGGACCAGACGGCAGAATAGATTGTTAAAATAGGTTCACTCATACTTACATTGACATGAACACGAATGATTTGAGGCAAATGAGAAATCTAAGTAAATAAGAGTAAAAATACTTGTAGTTATATATAGCCACCATATAAGTTTCAAGTCAGGTCAGATGTTCATGACGTTGATACAAGGCAAAAGAACATTTTGGATATTCCAAAATCACACGTACCAAAAACCTTCCATTTTCTTTGTGTTTGGAGAAGTTTGCCACGGCTCTGGAAACGTGAATCTGTTAAAAGTCAAACCACGCATACAAATTATAGTAGTTGAAAATTTATATACCGGTATGACGTCGTTACCTTAGCTCGGCATGTACAAATATAACAATGGTATACGCTACCTGAATGTTTAAGTTTTCTGCATGTGAGGTCATTAAATTGCAAACCAGGTCGATGCAATCCATCAGGGAGGACTGTTGAAAACGAAATATAGTTTAAGTATTTATATGTTTCCAGGATTTCATTCTTGCAATATATGCAGTTTTACTGATTGCAACTTCGCCTCAGTCTCATACGAGACGAGTGGTTCCACAGCAGACTTGTAGCAATGCTGTTCCAACAACTTGTCATCGTGCAGGATGTGTTCGCACTGCTTGTTCCCAGCTTGTTGACAAGTTGTCAACCGCTTGTTAACAACTTGCTACAAGGTTGTCGAGCTTAACAGACTCGTTACAAGTTGTTGCAACAACTTGTTATCATCCTGCAATTCAACAATTTGTCAACAAGTTGTGAGTGACAACCTTGTAGCAACTTGATAAAATAACAGCACTGTTACAACTTGTTGACAAGCTTGCTTGTTACAAGCCTGTTGCGAACACAGCTTGTTGACAAGTTGTGAGATTTGTATGTGTGCATATCTGTCGACCTCTTGTAGTACAGTAATACTGCATGCACGAATGGGAGGACAGTTTAGAACCGAATGTTTTACATAAAATTACCTGAACATCAGCAGACACCGCCAAGTTTGCAATTAAACATGCTCCATTCGTATAGACCTAAAAATTTGTACAAAAAGTGTCAGTTCATAAAGCAAAAATATATTTTGTACAATGTATGAAGAAGTGTATACCTCTAGGTTCTTAGGTCGTCGTTTCAACGTGTTTTGGATACATTTACCACCGTAGTTATCCTCCTAAAAAATATTACGGAGGTTTTGATTTGATTTCTACTACCGCTACCATTAAGGAACCATTAACCACTCGGGTGCGTTTCATAAATCCGATTAACCAATCAGATGCGTTTCAAAGCCGCAATGAGAGGTGGTGATAGTAAGATCTGAATCTCTCTATTGATTTGCTGAGACAAGATGTGTTAAAAATTCTCACCTCAACAAGTCTTCTGCGTTGTTCTGGCGTACCACAAGCAAGTAAGGCTAGCACACGTAACGCCACTTCTTGGATCTGATATAAAACAAAGCAATTACGAGATCTTATTCTTTAGAGTCAATTACTGAATTAGCATATCGCACGTACAAGTTTTATGCCCATGATGCGAACATTAATATCGTAATATGAAATTAGGCAAACCTTTTCGTCGTTCAATTTTGTCAATCTTAAAATTGTCTGCAGACCATTTTTGAAATTCTGTAAAATAATTTCATTGCAACTTGAGCTACAGATGAACTCTTCAACAGCGACGTAACATTATTTTAGACTTATTTCCTACCACTGTCCACCGAATAGTAATTTTCCAAGCTTTCTCAAATTGTTCGCTGATTGGAATAACTGGTACAGTATAACCCAGGTTTAACTTTAGTATTTATTTATAAATTAAAGTTTCTTTCCTTAATTAATTATGAGGTCTATATCAATAGTTGTATAGCTTTTTAATTAAGCATGTTACAACGGTTGAAAATAGCCGCTACGCCCCAAGTAGTTTACAGTTAAGTTTCTACATACCTCTGTAAAAGAAGCGACGTTGACTGGACTCTCAAGAACAATACCCAAGGTTGTCAGAGACAATATAGTGACTGTACTATCAGATGACATACACAGAGCCATTAACGGCGTCAATGCACCTTCCGCAACCACTGCATGTTGGTAAAAAATAAAGAGGAGAAATTGGCTGGTAGGTTTCAGAGAGCATTACAGCAGAATATCTGCTGTATGCCGTATCAAACAATACTTAGACAGAAATTTACATGTGCCTCACCTAGTATTTTCAATTTATCGGATTTTGAAATAAGTTTAAGTGTGCTGAGGGCTTTAATTAAAGCTTGCGAATGACTGTCAGTACTCGAGGATAAAATACTAGAATAGAAATAAAGACAAAATGAAGAATATTTTATTGGAACACTAAGTGGAACGAAGTGAGCACCAAATTTAAAGAATAGTGTTGCATCTCGCAACCACATCATATGACTCGTGGACCAATCTTGTTTTAATCTTACCCTACCTACAAATGGCCTTAATTCCACCACACTGGACAATCATTGTATGTAAAGGAGGATGTAGAGCTAAATTATTAAGACCATCAGCCACGGCTTCCTTGACATCAGTGATGTTGGTCTGTGCAAGATGTATGATCGCTTGAACTCCGCCTGATTCAACAACCTGAACACAGAAAGAATGTAAACCAAAGATGGATCAAGAGACAGGAGGGGGGGGGGGGTGATTTCTGACAGGGGGCATATAATTACTGGCAGACTGCTTTTGGAGTGCAATCCCCTTCAGAGTTGTACACACAAACATGGCACATGTATATTATACATATTATATATATATATGGTATCACTATGACCTTTACCTTCTTTAGTTCATTTTGCTGCCCAGATACTTCAGCCAAATTTTTAGCAGCTTCTAACCTTGGGGCCTAAATAATTTTAGTTTTAAAAGCAAGCTCTGTACTACATGTAGTGTGGATTGAATGCACTAGTATGGCCTAACATGTTGGCTTTAAAATATGGTATGGTTGTGGTATGGTATGGTACTGTATGATGTAGTACAGTGTGGTATAGTATGGTATGGTATGGTATGGTGTGACATATTGGTATGGTGTGCTATGATGTGGTTTGGTATGTTATGGTATGTTGTGGCTTGATATGGCATGGTTTCACTGGTATGGTTGGGTTTGGTATATACAGTATGATGTGCTTTCATTGGTATTGACAGTATGCTATGGTACATATAATGTGGAATGGCATTCTGTCATTTGATATGTTAAATTAAGTGGTGTATATAGTATGATGTGATATGATGTAGTGTAGTGTATGGTGGTGTGTACTATGGTATTGTATAGTATCATATAGTATGGTATGGTCATGTATATGATTGTACAAAACATTGATACATACCATCTGCATCGATCTGGCCTGGGCTATCATGTTACTTATAGGAAAACAAGCATTGCAAACTCTGGTGGGTTCTTCTTCACCATACTGTGGTAATATAATCTGCACGCAAGAGAAGATGTCAAAGTTGAGATGCACAATGACTTTTATACCCTGTGAAACTTTCTTGGCATCCATTATCTTAAATCATGAGTCACATTACCTTTTCAAAACAACACTTTGCACATAGCACCTTGCCGCAGTCACGACAATGATGCCGTCTACGAACTTGGGTGAATCGCTCATTGCACATAACACAAAAGCTGGCTTCAGAATCAGGAACCCATCTGTCGACAGAATAAAAATGTGGACAAATGAAAAATAATAAAAAAATTTTCCACCCTTAAAATAAACATATAGCGATTAGGATCGAGTATTACATAACACCATTGCCCTTCCCTCAGTAAATTGGGATGCTCATGGTACAATGTTAGTCAGCCGATTAATAGTTTAGGCGTGTGGCATTTAATTAACAAAGCCAATGTTAAAAAAAGAAACAGTCATATATCAATAACCACAGCCTTTTTCTCGTTTTAACATGCATGTAGCCAATAAATCGGCCAACTTGAATTGTAGCATGTGCATCCTGTCATCTCGTCCCTCGCACCAGAGTGCAAGAGAAAATTACCCTGGGTACAAGGTTGGCCCAGTGCCCGGATCTTCAACTATGCAAATACTATTAGCAATGACCAAGATATCAGTTTACAAAAAGCTTCGCCCGAAAAAATAAACACTGTTTTATCAAGACTCTCTGATAGGTCTGACCACTCTAACGAGGTCCAATAAGAACAACTACGTCCTCAACAGGGGGTGCGCATATAAATTTAATCCATTTCCCTGCCCTGCAATTAAAAGTGAATACATGTTTACATCGACAAAAACAGACCATATCGACTTCCAACTTACTTTGTTCTGGTCAGTATGAACGGCGTGGGTGAAAACACGTTCGACGCACCTTCTGTTGTTGCCGGGCTGATTTTTATATCGCCGATTCTAACGACAACCTCATTTCCTTCGCTTCCAAACGACGCCATAACAGAACAGATTTCTCGCTGGTCAGGTCTTCTATTGAGATCAGTGGGCAGGACTCGTCTAGAATTCCTTGGAAAAATATCTGAAATTCCTTGATTTTTCCAAGTCAGTTTTTAATTTGATAATACAAAATATGCAAAATTCCTGTTTTTAAGGATCATGCAACAAGCAGAAGCGCCTTTTCCTCAGCGGTTGTAACAGCGCGGGCGCAAAATAATTGTCTTTTTTATAACAATAACAAATATATCCTCTTGGCAAAAGAATCTCTAAAATGTCTTAAATTTTCTTAAATTTTGTTGGTATCGTGTACAGTTGGTTTGTTTTGTACATTTGGTTATGAAAGAGTGTAGTTTATTGTGTCGAAATTGCCCGTACGTGAATGAAAAGATCAATGTAAAACACAGATATGTTTGTGCGTGTTTGGAGATTAATGGTGCTTGAAATATTAAATGGCCAAGAAGATTAGTTGATAATTTCAGGTATGGTATTGTTAATTTTTTTTACTTTTGGTGATGTATTTTAGAGTTCAAAACTAGGGTTTTGTTGTATTTTTTTCATTAGGTCTATATATAAAAGTTTAAAGTTAGGTAAAACGTTCTTGTATTGTGAAATTCAGTTTTCACTTTATATAAAGTGCCATTTTATGCATGAGAAAAGAAGTCATTATTTAATTAAAAAAAAGTCTTATTTAAGTACACAATTGTATAAATGGCCAAATTCCAATAAGCTGTGAATTATTTTGGACTAATCTGTCTACTAACATTGTGACATGGTTGTCACATGAAATCCATACTTTACCAACCATGTCACACCATATACCATTGCACACCATATACCATTGCACACCATACCATACCATACCATGGCACTCAGTAATGTACCACACCAGACTGTAGCATATACACCATACCATACCATGCTCTTCTGTACCATGTACCATGTCACACCACATCATACCATTGCACACCATACCATACCATGGCCTATAGTACTGTACCATATCACACTGGAGTGTGCCATGTACACCATATCATACTAAACCGTACCATACATGAGTCACATGACTCTACTATTCCATGTTTTACCATATTATTCTATGCCATACCACACCATATCATGGCACACCATACCAAAACATACCATGGCACACCATGCCATATCATACCATGCCATTGCACACCATACCATACCAAAGCATGCCATTGTATACCATACCATGCCATTACACACCATACCATACAATGCCATTGCACATCATACCATGTCATTACACAACATTCTGTATCACACCATACTATCATGACCACACTGTACTGTACTGCACTGCACTGCACTGTACTGGTACTGGTACTGTACTGCACTGCACTGCACTGCACTGCACTGCACTGTACTGTACTGCACTGCACTGCACTGTACTGTACTGGTACTGTACTGCACTGCATTGTACTGTACTGTACTGCACTGCACTGCACTGTACTGTACTGTACTGGCACTGTACTGCATTGTACGGATTATCCCAGAGCCTTTGTTTCCTTCCCGAGGATCGCAGGCTCGGGGAACGAGATTGCACTGCATTGTACTGCACTGCACTGTACTGCACTGCACTGGTACTGCACTGCACTGTACACTGTACTGCACTGCACTGTACTGGTACTGCACTGCACTGCACTGCACTGTACTGTATTGTACTGTACTGGTACTGTACTGCACAGCACTGGTACTGTACTGGTACTGTACTGTACTGCACTGCACTGCACTGCACTGCACTGCACTGTACTGCACTGCACTGCACTGCACTGCACTGCACTGCACTGCACTGCACTGCACTGCACTGCACTGCACTGCACTGCACTGCACTGCACTGCACTGCACTGCACTGCACTGCACTGTACTGTCTTTCTATTCGTTTCTACATGCACATAGAATAAAATCGCTTGGCAAAATTGCAGAAACTATACCAACAACGAAAATGCAGTACTACACACCACAAGTCAAATCTCAAAAAAGCAGTTGAGCACACTGAGCTTTCCTAACTAACGAAATATATTTTATTAGAAATGAATTTTAAACATTATGTTTCTAGTTATTAATTGGAAAAATGTCTAACAAAAACTCGGAACAATTAATGGACAAATGGTACGAACTGATTTACAGAAAGCTGAAGGAAAGCGGAAACCTTTTGCGTGTTTCCGAAGATTTCGCCGAACTTCGCTCAAACCACGAACGCGTTTCGTTCACATGGAAACTGGACTGCGTTCAAGAAACTTTAGCTACACGAGAAATGTTTTTAGAAAAATCTGCAACGAAATCCATCTTAGCACGAACGGAGGGCAACAAGGTATTTCAGAATAAAAAGTTCATCGAAGCTTTAAGCCTGTACAACGAAAGCGTCAAATACGCTCCAATGTCGAGCGCTGAACCGGAATTTTCAATGGCTGTTGCAAACCGTTCTGCTGTTTTAATACACATGAAAAAGTACAGTGAGTGTTTACAGGATATTGGGCTAGCATTGAGCTACGGCTATCCAGACGTTTTGAAGTATAAAATCTACGAGCGTCAAGGGAAATGCTATTTCTTTCTGCATTTGCAATCCCAGGCATTGGAGAGCTTTAAAAAAGCGAAAGACCAACTCACACTTTCCAACCTAACTCCCGAGAAGACCAACGCATTTCGACGAAATTTAGATTCGTGGATTAAGAGAAGCAAAGAGGGGTTAAAACAGAATGAAAACAGTTTCGAGCTCATCACAGACACAGTAAGGTTTCCAACCCCATGTCTGACCAATGATGTTAATTCTGTATTCCCTTGCCTTTCGTCTAAAGTCGATGTGACTTATGATAATGAGAAAGGTCGCCATATTAAAGCTGTCGAAGAAGTGCAGGTCGGTGACGTTGTTGCGGTCGAGAAACCATATGCTTCGGTGTTACTCCCCGAGAACTACCCGACGCATTGCCTGCACTGCCTAAAGCGTGTCCTGGCCCCGCTGCCATGCCGACAGTGCGCAAGGTTCGGGTTTTGTAGCGAATCCTGCGAGAGCTTAGCGTGGGCTTACCATAGATACGAATGCAAGTATTTAGATTTCCTCGCCGCCTGCGATATCGGGAAATTTGGTTTCCTCGCGCTACGCGTTATGACCAAAACAACATGGCCGACTTTGAAAGAGTTCGATTCGGAAAAGTGCCCCGAGGAACCCACGCTCGAAGATGGCTCCCCTTCGAATGGTGTTTATCGCAATACGTACTTCGAAATTTACCACCTAGTCGCTCATACTGAAGATAGGTCAACTAGCGACCTTTTCCGTCGATGTATTATGTCCGTTCTGCTTGTGAAATGCTTGGACGCCGCCGGGTATTTTGGTCAGCGTGCATCGCGAGAGGAATCGAATGACGTCGTATGTGTGGGCAGCCAGATACTGCGCATGCTTCAGGTACTACCCTGCAACGCCCATGAGATATCGGAGTTCTTACAGATCGATAAAGACCTGGTCAACTCTCATACGATCGAAATCGCCGCCGCAATTTATGCGACTTTCAGTCTATTCAACCACTGCTGTGATCCGTGCGTCACGCGCAATTTCTACGGAGATACTTGCGTCATGCGTTCAATTCAAACTATCCCCAAAGGAGACGAAGTTTTGGACAACTACGGTTACGTATCCGCCGTAACTCCGTTGGCAGAACGACAAGCCGAGCTGAAGAAACAGTATTATTTCGCGTGCTCTTGCTGGGCTTGTGCGGAAGGCTGGCCTTTGTATGCAGAATTGGAATCGCGCGTGCCAATCTTGAAATGCCGGCGTTGTCATCAGCGCGTTCCGTCCGACGCGCAGTCGGTGTATCAATGCTGGTTTTGTAAAGAAGAAATGAACGTCCAGGCTAGATTCAGTGAAGTTTACGATGCCGGCGCCTGCCTTAAAGTTGGCATAGATAAGATGATTGAAGGGGACGATAAAACGGCTCTGCCTCAGTTGATTGCATGTATCGAGCGGTTAGATCACTGTGTCAGCCGACCCTGGCAGGACATTAACTCGTGTCAACAGGGTATCATACAGTGTTACAATGTGTTACAAAGCAATAGACATGTTGTACGTAGATAGGCAGACACTACTGACACACGGGACACAAATTTTAGTTGGAAGTATAGTTAGCAATAAGGATTATAACTCATTTGAATAAAAATTAAAAAACACGGATTTGTTTCATAAATTCATTGTGCCTAATGTACATTTTCAAAAAATTTAAAATTATGATAAACGTGCTAGCGCACGGGCAAACACGAACTTTTAAACCCTCTCGAGCGTTTTAAATGTTCTTCTAAATAACCAAGGGAATCCAACCCGAAAACAAGTTAGTTTACTGTTCTAGTGAACAGAAAACAGGCACAAAGTCAACCTGATAGTCAGGGTTTTCACTTCCGCTATCCCCCCAAACTCGCTTTGGGGGGATAGCGGAAGTGAAAACCCTGAGTATCAGGTTGGCACAAACATACATTTAAAAATCTCACATCTTACGAACAAAATGTGTTCGCAACAGACTTGTAACAAATCAGCAAGTTGTAAACAATATGCTGTTATTTTGTGAAGTTACCGCAAGGTAGCCACACTAGCAATTGGATAGCTCTATCAGTTTCCGTGTTGACGGTTCGTCTTTAATTAAGGTCCAATAAAGATCTTTCATTTCATCGGTCCGTTGTTACTACAAGAGGAGACTGGTGTTCTCGCGGAGAAAAACTATTATACGTTTGTGTCACAAATCGTGTATTAACTTGTGCGTTTTTATGTGCTCGTCCACTTTGCAACAAATCTTAAGTATGCGATGTCTTCAAAAAGTCATCTTCAATATGAGCGTGCAGAGTGCTTTGCGGTACACCCTCAATCTCCAGGCGTAAACGATGGGGTTCCCAGCATAATAAAAATAAGCGAACGCCTGGGTGTAGCGAAATCCGGTATCGTATATCAGAATCCCCATACCAGTCCCTTCTCTTGCTAATATGACATTCGAATACACAACGTAAGGCGTGTATGTTACAATGAGCACCAACATGAGCGTTAACACCACCGATGTGATCTGCGCATGACACGCTTGCAAGGTCAGATCCATTACGGTCGAGATTTCCGCCGAACTGCCAGACTGAGATAAATCCCTTCGCTGTCTCCGAAGAACTTGGAAAATCACGATGTGTATAAAGACGAACAAAACTGCAGAGATTTCGATGAACAGCAAGAATGCGAAACGTCTTTTTGTGATTTGGTATTTCATCATAACGCTTCCAAAAAGTGCAAAAGCCCACGCGAAAATGATGCCTATGACAGTGTTTCGTTTTGTAAGGATCCGTGACCAAGTCATGGGCATGATTGCGACAACGAGTCTGTCTACAGACATCAGGATTAGCGTATAGAATGAAGTCTGGATGCTGCCACAGAAGAAGAGAAACTCCACACCGTTCAAGCTTTTGTTCGCCATTTGCAATGCCATCACTACGACGAGCATTAAGCCTGTAAAACAGTCGGCTAGAGCCAGATTCGCGATGAGATACGACACCCTGGTTCGGAAAAATTTTTTCCGTTCATTGTACAAGACCAAAAGCAGTAGCCCGTTCATCAAGGCAGCCGCGGAACCAATTATTACTAGCAAAATGTTTGGGGCGTCGATGCTGCATGAAAAAGTACTGCTATTCCTCGGCACAATCGATTCGTTCACTCCTACGTACATCATGACTGAGTTCTTCGTTCTGTGATAGATTACAGCTGCAAAGAAGTTAATATAGTCCTTGTCAAACTATGCAAATGATTTGATAAAATCTGATCCAATATATGGGAGGAAAGATTCAAAAGACGAGTAACTCGGCAAACACATCCATATGAATTGTAGTATTCGTGCGTTGAGCAGGCGTACTATTAAATTTGCGCAAGGCTGTATGTTGAAAGCAGTATGGACACAAAGTGGCCTTAGCTTGCATAAACGAAACTGTTATATGATATACTGCTGCAGTAGAAAAAAAATAAAGGTATTTTCTACAATTTGATCGATAAGTATCTTTGATGAAGTCAAGGTCTTCAGCGATACGAATAAAATCAAAACAGCTGATCATTTCTATTTTTTTATCTTTTATGATTTTATCTGTCACGCAAGATGCAAATCGAAATCCAAAACATGTACGTCTGTCATGATCGATTGTTTTATTTACTCAATGTTTACAAGACAGAATTTAATCTTTAATTACTTTAACTAAACCTGCATGTTAATGACATATTTTTCCACATTTTCCAATTGAACATATTATACATTACGGCTTCGTATATTGCTTAGCCTGAGCATATTAAGGCTCTATTTTAACCCCCACTCGCATTTAAGGAAGGGAAAATATGGTCTGATACTGACTCAGACTTGTCCAGAACTATCAGGCTAATGACGTCACAACTGTTTGTGCATGGCTAATTTATTGTAAACCCATTGCAAAAATTAACTTTATTTGTGCTAGATAGCTCTATCAGTTTTGAACTGTTCTTATTGACCCAGTGTTATTCCAGGAGGAAACCTAAATTAAATTAACTTTATCCCGGATAGCTCTATTAGTTCTGAACTGTAACAGTGTTCTTCCTAGAAGTCCAGTAAGGATCATGTCTTATTGATCCAGTGTTACTATACAAGAGGAAACCTAAACTAAATTATAACTTTATTTATACAGTATAGCTCTTTTATAGTTCTGAAATGTAGCAGTGTTCTTCCTAGAAGTCCAGTAAGTATCATGTCTTATTATTGATCCAGTGTTACTACAGGAGGAAACCTAAACTAAATTAACTTTATTTATACAGTATAGCTCTTTTATAGTTCTGAACTGTAACAGTGTTCTTCCTAGAAGTCCAGTAAGGATCATGTCTTATTATTGATCCAGTGTTACTACAGGAGGAAACCTAAACTAAATTAACTTTATTTATACAGTATAGCTCTTTTATAGTTCTGAACTGTAACAGTGTTCTTCCTAGAAGTCCAGTAAGGATCATGTCTTATTATTGATCCAGTGTTACTACAGGAGGAAACCTAAACTAAATTAACTTTATTTATACAGTATAGCTCTTTTATAGTTCTGAACTGTAACAGTGTTCTTCCTAGAAGTCCAGTAAGGATCATGTCTTATTATTGATCCAGTGTTACTACAGGAGGAAACCTAAACTAAATTAACTTTATTTATACAGTATAGCTCTTTTATAGTTCTGAACTGTAACAGTGTTCTTCCTAGAAGTCCAGTAAGGATCATGTCTTATTATTGATCCAGTGTTACTACAGGAGGAAACCTAAACTAAATTAACTTTATTTATACAGTATAGCTCTTTTATAGTTCTGAACTGTAACAGTGTTCTTCCTAGAAGTCCAGTAAGGATCATGTCTTATTATTGATCCAGTGTTACTACAGGAGGAAACCTAAACTAAATTAACTTTATTTATACAGTATAGCTCTTTTATAGTTCTGAACTGTA